ATGTATATCGAATTGAGTAGCAGTCCTTTTAATAGTCGTTAAGTCAAAAATAATAACCAATAATGTCAACCTGCCGATGCTTCGACAAGAGATGTCAGTTAGCTTAAACCTCTAGGGAACCATAACTGTTTGTATAACATCCCAATTATGTTCTACTCAGTAGTTGTCACCACACTGCTAGTATAACTGAAAGTCTTCAAACTACGTGATTCTTTTGAACAGATAACTTCCTACAATGAGCTGTGTTTAAGATTCATTATAATATACACACTATATAGGTTAATGTCACTATCTGAGTTAGCAGGAGGCTTACATAATTTTCTTTGATAAAATAAAGTGACGAATAATCAATTGTTTGTATTCTTACTGTGTATTATTCCAATATTCCCTTCGCTGCAGAAGTGTTTTTGTGTGTACTGACCTAGATGAAACCTGCCAAAGACACAAGGCATTGAGAGGCTTCTTCATGGAAGTAGGTTGCAATGTCTCTTAGGGTGAAACACTCAGCTCCAACTCTACAGGGAGCTCGCTATATTTATGATGGTGCAGAGAAGCACCATAATTGTGCTGTGCCTATTCTGCCAGACGCATATTCAGAACAAAAGCACCACATTTGGTTCTCTGTTAACTTGTCAAAGCGACACACTTTCTCTTCATGTCCTACCAAGCTGCTGTAGAGACAGAAAACAGAGGGGCTGGAGTTTATGTAATGCCATACATTTGCTTTAAGTGTCACCCCTCACACACCATGCCAATAGCTGATTTGTTATTTCAGGGACCACCTGTGAGGAACGTTTTACTCTTAGCACTGTTGTGACCTTGGGTGTCCTCAAGCAGTAGAAATAGACAGAAAAAAGTGTTTAGATAAGTTGGACTCTAATTCAAACAAAGCTGATCTGAGGTTTGAAAGTGTGTTTTGAAAGGGAAATGTTTTGCGAAACAAAATACCCTGAAAAAACTGAAACGTTGACTTTAATTAAATGAATTATGTCAACAGATTTCAGATAACTGTATTAAAGGGGACCTATCATGCAAAATGCACTTTTGTACGTCTTTTATACATGAATATGTGTCCCCGGTGTTCCAGGGAACTCACCAAGTGTCAGAAAACACAACCCTCTCTATTTTCCTCCATACCCAAATCTCTAAAAAAAGGGGCTGCAACGGATCTGATAAAAACTGATCCAGATTTGAACACTGTCCTGACGTCAGGACGGTGGCGCTACGGCTATTGGGCCAACTCCACCAATCAGGAGGAGACAGCCACGGCCATTGCCGTTCGAAAGCGCTGGAGACGCTGTAGTACATATGCCAGGCCAGTAGATGGTGCTGTTCTCACTGAATCAGCCCTTGCAGAGCAGAGCTAAAAAAAAGTGCAAATTGAGCGAAATGAGGCATGGCTAAAATGCATGATCTGTTTGGTATTTTGAAAACAGAAACGTATAAATATACCTTATATAGGTATGGCCCTACAATATATCATTTAAATATACCATGATAGGTCCACTTTAAGTTAGTTGAAAGCAATAATATTAAGTTGAACCTAATATTCTTTAATACATTTTATATTATTGCTTTCAACTAACCTAATACTGTTATCTGAAATCTGTTGACATAATACATTTAATTAAAGTCAGTTTCAGTTTTTTTCAGTGTAGCTGTGTCACAGAGGCTTTAAAAAGAAGATTTGATATTGAATGTGAATACAATAATTCACTTCACACCCTCAGCGACTCTGAAAACAACCAGCGAAAGCTAAATAAATGATCGGCAACACATCGCACTGCTGTGGTCATTTGGTTTTTGGATGAGAGAACAATGAGTTTTGCACGTGAACTCGGAGTGGCCGCCATGTGGCTGAAGCCCTCTCCCAGGGCTGTTTGCACACCTAATGACAGCTTGTTTTCACTGACCTGTGTGGACAACATGGGGAGAAGGAGGGAAAGGGGGGCAGGGGATGAGAGAAAAGGGAAAATAGCAACGATGAAAAGCTCAAACTAAATGTTAAGCAGAAGGACAAAAAAGAGAAAGCAAATGATATAAAAAGAGGTTAACAAATTTGAGGGGAAAAGTACTGGGGTGAGGGGGGGCTCAGTATCTCCGGGTAAAGCTCGTTCACCCGCAGAGCCAGCCGAAGCGCTCTCTGATTGGTGCTGCGCGCTGCAGCTCTCTCCCCTCCCCCCTGAAGAAAGAGGTGCAGTGGGAACGTCAGACCCAGACAGCGCAGGACTCAGCCACTGAAGACACTCATCTCTGAAGCTCTGCATGAGACCTTTCTACAGAGTATTCAGGGACAGACTACATGACAACCTGCTCTCCTACAGCATAGAGGCTTCTGCTACTACACTCAGGAATTTATCAAACACATTGCACTGATTTAAAAAAAAAAAAACATAGCTAAAGAATAGTGCGTTGAATTCAGTGCATTGAGAAGCACTCCGGCCGGTCACCATGGGCAGGCAGGGACACGAGAGCACCGCCGCGGCGCCCGGGATGCGCATCACACGCTCCCAGAGCAAGATGAGCCTGTCTGCATCATTCGAAGCGCTGGCTGTCTATTTCCCCTGCATGAACTCCTTCGATGAGGAGGACGGAGGTAAGACCAGATCTGGGGATAATATCCCAGCATCATCTGCTGCAGGCTGAGGTGGGGGGGGGGGGCAGTGCTGTGTAAACTGAGAGAGAGGAGATGGATTTAGGATTAGCGGGAAGATGCAGAGGTATTGATCGTTGGGAGATTTGGGGTAGATGCAATTAGCTTGGATGAAAGTGAAGTTCAATAAGGATATAATGTAATGCTTGTTTGTGCGACAATATGAGTTCAAAGTTGATTTATATGCCTGCATCTCTTGTGAAATACACAGACTGCTACAGGAAGCAGCATGATTTCATATTCTACTCATGCGAGTCAATATGTTATTCCCCCGTGATATCAAGTCTAGCTATGAATGAAAATGAAATGAATCACTGCTTAGTACCATGTGGGTGGTGGTGTTTATTTAGCTTAAGAACACAACATTACTCTGTGAGTGTTTCTTCACATTTCCTGAGAAGTACTGATGACGCCTGTTAGTGTTTATATTTATGCCTCCCAAGATGCTCTTCTCATGTCCTATTCTAGTTGATTTATTTACAGGGTCCTTTTTTTTTATACCTTCCGTTATCCTCATATTTTTGCCTGATGACACCAGCTGTTTTTAGCCACAGCTTTACACTCACTTGTCCTCACACCTCCACGGTTTGGCTACGAGCTGCTCCACTACTCATTGTCTTTTCCTTTCTTGGCATGGCCAGGATTTGAGGGTCGTGACCTTTTGGTGACGGGCCAGTTTGTCTGACTTTAAGGCCACTGCTGCTCCGTGTTGCCTGATACTTAACAACATTGTTCGGCTGCCCAGTATTTTCAAACAGTGGTGATAATGCTCCAGTCTGTGACACATTTACCTCATCTGCCATTGCTAAAAATGAACTTTTGTGTATTTTTTTATAATATTCCAATTTGCAGAGAGAAACATTTATTAGTTATTATTTCAAAAGATCACCCCTTTATTGATAGTATAGTAATTACAGAAAGGACTGCTTTAGCCGTACCATAAAATCTCATAATTTGTGCAAGGGAGTAAAAAAACGGATTTCCCTCGCTTGAAATGTTTTGATTTGAGTGTTCGTTAATCACATCCGGCAGGCCACTGATTGGTTGAGCTCTTTATGCTCAGGTTGGCCACAGACGTCAGAGACAACCTCTACGGCCTTGTCTCCTATTGTGAAGTGTGAAGAGCAGGAAGAGGAGGCGGAGGCCGGCTCAATAACCCAGATCTCAAGCCTGAAAGGCTTCATGTCTGTTCATGCCTGTGCGAGATAAGACTACTCCTCTGACAAAACAAGGAGGAGAGGAGGAAGAGGGAAGACAGGTGTATTCATGCTTCATTGTTGATTCATACGCCATACACACTGGGAAATGATGTTCATTAAAATGTGGCATAAGGTGATAGCCCATTGTTTGTCACAGCGCACCTGGGGGTTGCCAACAGTGAAGTGACACTAACTATTACTTTATATCTGACCTCTGGGAAATAACAGGATGAACTCATTTTCTATTGGTTTGATTGCAGATATGAAATCTATAATTGGTGCATTAACATTTCATAATGCTTTGGTTATTAGTCTTTGACCATAGCCGTGCACAATTTCATTTGATATGTATTTGTTGTGCAGACATGCCAGCTTAACAGAGCTTAAAATGCAAACTCACTTTTTACTCTTGTCTTCATTTTTGCGCTCCTGAGCATCATTGGTGTATGCTGTGATGACTCGGTGAAGAAACGGGTCTTTCTCCTAATGAAATATCAAATGAAACATAATAGTGAAGTCTAGGTCTGTGTGTGTGTGTGTGTGTGTGTGTGTGTGTGTGTGTGTGTGTGTGTGTGTGTGTGTGTGTGTGTGTGTGTGTGTGTGTGTGTGTGTGTGTGTGTGTACAGTATGTATGTGTGCTGGCAGCCAAGCATGTATTAAGTGGTCCAGCATGTGTGTAGGTGTGTGTAGGTGTGTGTAAGTCCAGCACAGGAACAGGGAGGCAGTGTGGGGAGGAGCCGCAGCAGGGCTAATGTTCCGAGTCAGCTGTCATCTTGGATCAGTTAGGATGGGGGGGGGGGGGGAGCATGGGCTAAGGCTCCCACAAGACCCCCGCAGGCAGTCAGTAGCACAGACCAGAGGGGGGCTGCCGATGTTGTATCTGTAGAGAGGATGAATTAGTGACCTTGTTTGAGTGAAGTGATCCTTCCCAGAATAAGCTACACTAAAGGTATACAGATCTATTTCCATTCAAACAGTTTTGTTTCCCTCTGGAATTAATTTTCTACGAGCAGATGAATGCGGGACAGTTATAATCCGTGTGTGCAACTCGCTGTATGAGTCACAAAATGATGCAGTGTCATGCATTAACACTCTCCATGGCTCTCCCTCCCTCCTCTCTTCCCCCACGTGTGGCCTTCATTGGGCAGAAGCAGGGGGCAAGAAGCTGCGCAGCACCATCCAGAGGAGCACGGAGACGGGCCTGGCGGTGGAGATGAGGAGCAGGATGACTCGGCAGGCCAGCCGGGAGTCCACAGACGGCAGCATGAACAGCTACAGCTCCGAGGGAAAGTAAGGACACGCTTATTCTGAGGTCGCTCCAAAAGCTCCTTCTTATTTCACTGAGAGCATTAGTACATACACAAAATTCCAAACTCTTCCTTACAGCCGCTGCACCCCGACAGATTTGTCTTATATTAATGAAACTGTGTCTTTCATCTCCATGTTTGTGTCTTCTCTGTTTCAGTCTCATCTTCCCCGGTGTGAGGCTCTCCTCAGAAGCCCAGTTCAGCGACTTCCTGGATGGTCTCGGCCCCGCCCAGCTGGTTGGACGACAGACGTTGGCTACTCCCCCCATGGGTGAGAACAGCCACCTTTGTAGTCATTCATTGTATACAGTACCTTGGTTATTCACAGAATGCCTCTTTGCACTAAGAAGTGAACACGTTGATGAGGGAAAGTTAATAATCTTGTTAGTCATGCATTATTTTATGATGTATTTATGTTTTCCTTAGTGACAATGCACATTATCAACATCACTGTAAAAGTGCCATTGCTAGCCAAAAGGCTAAGTTTCAACTGTTGTCCCTCGGCCTGATGTTACAATTGGCCATTCAAAGAATATTGAATGAAAACAGAACAGGAAAAAGCCAAACATGAACAGTTGAACAAGAACTCATGCAGTAAGACAATTAACATGCAGCTGACTAATACAAAACATTGGGTACAAACAGTTAAATATGACGACATTAAATTGCATTACAGAACACAAAGCAAAGCAGACAATCAGAGAGCATGCATATCTCCTTTAAAATACCTATACCATACTAACTTATATATACTGTCTGTATATGGTGTGAAATATGAGGTTATTATAGTGCTTGAAGTCAAAATCTGTCAACGCTGTTATCCAGGTGACATCCAGATTGGTATGGTGGACAAGAAGGGAGCGCTGGAGGTGGAGGTCATCAGAGCCCGTGGCCTTGTGGGAAAACCAGGTTCCAAGGCACTGCCAGGTAACTGAAGCTCTCACTCTGTCATATCACAGGGAGGCGTGTGGCGTAGTGGGTTAGTGCGTTGGTGTTCGGATCAGGGGGGTGCAGGTTCAAACCCCACTGCAGTCAGCATGTCGTTGTGTCCCTGGGCAAAACACTTCACCTCAAATTGCTCCTGTGGGGATTGTCCACAGTATTGAGTATGTAAGTCGCTTTGGATAAAAGCATCTAACAAGTAACATGTAATGTAATCACACTAATATCATAAATTCAACTTAAAAGCCCTAAAATCATATTTCTTTAGTGCTTTGGGGTAAGAATACGAGATGATGCATATTGTAACATATTCCCCCTCTCCTCTCTTCTCAGCACCATATGTAAAGGTCTACCTTTTGGAAAACGGAGTCTGCATAGCCAAAAAGAAAACAAAAGTAGCAAGAAAAACCTTGGATCCTCTTTACCAGCAGCAACTGCCGTTTGAGGAGAGTCCAGTAGGAAAGGTCTTACAGGTGAGGAACCGGAAACGAAACAATATCATTCCTCACTGTTTCACTGCGAACGTCCTTCTGATTCATTATTTCCTCTTTCTCTGCAGATCATCGTTTGGGGCGACTATGGACGCATGGACCATAAATCCTTCATGGGAGCAGTTCAGATACTGTTAGATGAGCTGGACCTGTCCAACATGGTGATTGGCTGGTTTAAGCTCTTCCCCCCTTCCTCACTGGTGGACCCTACTCTGGCCCCACTGACAAGAAGAGCTTCCCAATCGTCACTGGACAGTTTCTCTCGATCATAGCAGCGTGCAGAATGATAGCGTTGTTGTAGCAGCCAGTGTTGCGATTACAGGGTCACGCCCCCGGTTACACTGCATGCTTGATGTTGTGTCTTCTGAGCCTGTTTCCAGGGGTGCAAAAAACGTGATCCTGTGTTTTGAGCAAAAACGTTGCGCACATTGTGCACGAGGCGAAGCGCGTCGCAAGCGCCTGGCGGCCGGGATGCCGGGTGTTGTTGTTGTTGTTTGGAGGAAGCTGGAATGAACTCCTTAGCACGAGGAATCCGTCAGTTCCAGGTTTTCATCCAATTCGAAGCCATGGGGGTCAGCACTGGGAACCGCTAAACGAGTTCTACAGAAGCCCTTTTTCGAATGAAAATAAATGTTTTCTTTTCTTTTTTTTTGGTTTCCTTTTTTTATTAGTTTTTTTAGTTTTTTTATGTCGATGTACTTGTATCTGAAGGGGGTGACAGTGTTTCTAACCAGATGCTTGGTCACGCCACGCCAACAGACCTAGCTGTGTAGATGGAGTTTTGGAGACCATCACTTTGGGTGAGGTGTGTCCCAGCTTGTGTCCACACTCCCCCAAAACCCCAAAAGAAATACCCTGGTTACTCTAGGTTTACGTACTGAATCAACCCGTACTGGTAAATGAATCAGAGGCAATATTGAAGTGGCTACCATCAACACTCCAGAGCAAACAGAAACCCCATGAAAAGATGTACAATCTACCATCATTCTTTCTCTGTTGATATATTGTATGAAAATAAATGAGAAAAATATATTTTTTTCCCTTTTTAGTTCATTTGCATGGACACAAATTTAGCTGAATTAAAAAAATAAAAAATAAAATTATTTTCTTGAGGCTGCAACTTGCAAAAAAGAAGAAGAAAAATAAAACAGATCAGCCATTTTCAACAATTTATATTATTTTTAAAGATAAATGTCACTAGTGCATGGTTTTCAAGGGGAGTGAATGCAACATCGTGATAAAAAAAAGGCATTGTTTATCATTCTTTAGACCATTCATGAGTCTGTGTTTAGCAGACATGCAGATAAGGGAAACTTAAAGGAAACTTTTGGAGCTATTTAACAGAAAATGTTTATGTGACAAAAAGTGATAATGAAAATAAATGTAAATTATTTATTTCATTGTAAAAGGCTCATGCCTTATAAAGATAAACATTATGTGCAAATTGTACATGTTTCTCTTTTTCTTCCTTGTCCCAGGGTACTTCTCATTGTACTACTCATTGCTACCATTGTTCAGTCCCCTGACATTGTCCAGATTTGAGGACTGTTTCAGTATGTATTTTATTTTGGATTTGATTTGTTTAACAAGCATGTTGAAAAGGATTTTCTGCAACATGGCTTGGGCACACCTTACAGTAACTCAGCATGTTTTGATAAAGATGATATTTGGAATTTTTGCAGTTTCTTGTACAGTGCATGTCAACTTCATTACTTTTCTCCCTCACCTTTAAATTGAACTCTACAGCAAATTAGTTCTTGGTCTTCTGCGGCCATTTATTGAAGTTTTAACAAAAGACATTCCACCCCCAAGGTCATGTTTTCTTTCAGGTTTTTGAGAAAAAATAAGTGACAAGGAAAATATTTTATATTTAATGGAGGTTGACGAAACAGTTGTGATTGCAAGTGTATTTTATTTCAGTATTGTTGACGAACATGCAAAAATAATCTGTATTGGTACAGCGAGAGGTCTATACCTAATCAAGAGGCAGCAAACATGCGAGAGATGTGTGTGTCGCTGTGGTTCAAGTCCACAGGCACTGTTTGTGAAGATGAGCTAATCACAAGTTCAAATAACAAGGGATATTGCCACAGAAAATGTTTTTTCTTGTTTTAATGAAAATGAAATTAATTTACTATATTTTTGTTAGTTTTATTTAAAAGCCAAGACCAGTTTATTTTTTATTTTCTATTTTTAGTAATTATAAATACTTCTCATGTCTGGGAAGTATATGAATCTTATAGTTGCAGTATGTCTGAATGAAATTGAACTGAGGCATTATTCCTTTTCCACATGACGATAATGCGTTTTAATGTCCAAGAAAACCTTGTGGCTGGAACAAGCTACAGTATATATTTTCATTTTGATTTTCATTGTACATACCTTTAGATGTCAGAATTTGAATAAACAAGCTACCATGAATAGATGATAGACTCTTTTGGAACAGGAAGAATGCCTCACGTGATGACAAAGACATATGTTATTTATCCTTTTGAATGCCTTTTCATTTTCTCTTTTTGGTGCAATGTGTTAATGCCAAGGCTATGTCTTGGTTAAGTATGGTTGAGTACAGAGATTTATGTAAGTTATTTTTCAAATAAAAAATAAAAAAATTGATATTACACTGATGCAAAGAGTTGGGTGATGATACGATTAACACACACGCATGTACAATCACGATCCATACTGAATGTTATTCTCTAGTAGCATATTGCTCAAGCTCCCAAAACCCTGAATCCTACAATTCCCATAATGCATCCTCAAAATCAACTCCATAGCCCCCTTTATCAAGCAGGGCTTATGTTATACATTTGGAGACCCTGATGAAATATGAAGATGATATTCTCTGACAACACATGGTATGGTATGGTTTAAAGCACCAGTATCAGATAAAAGTTATTTTAATGTAACGTTTGAAAGAAATGGATACAGGACCTTTATTCTGTAACATTATATAATGCCTTTATAAAAAGGCAAACTGGGTTAAAGGTAGGGTAGGTAAGTTTGAGAAACCGGCTCGAGATACACTTTTTGTTATATTCCATGGAATGCTCTTAACATCCCGATAGCAATGAATATCTTAAGTGCTTTGACAAAAAATCCATAAAAAAATGTCATCTGTGGAAGCCGTTGTACTGTAAAAAGCACGACCAATCATTTTAGCCGGCCCGGCTAAAATAACTGGATGGCCTACCTGCCTGTCAGCCTTTCATCTGTGCACAAACTTATCTCGTGCCCTCATTGGTCATGTGCACGTTCGTGTGTGTTGGAGGAGGGGCTCTGTAAGGAAGTGGGAGATTTTTTCCGGCTGTATATTTTCAAATTCTAGCGCACTCGAGCTGGTTTCTCCAAAATTACCTACCCCACCTTTAAGGCTTACCTGACATTTTTAGGACTTATTTACCATACTATTTTCTAATAGAAAGTGAGCTACCTGGTTTACAAGTTAGACTAGCTGAACTCCAAACAATATGAGCCCGTCATGCTGCTAAGCTAGTTAGCTTGTCCACTGTGCTGGGCAATTCAGGCCAAGCACACAAATTGATTTAAATTGTTTTGCCTTTTATCGATTAGGCTTAACAAATGACTATTTAGTTGCTTATAAAAATGATGTTTGTAAGGTTTCACCTAATACTTAGGGGTATTTATGTGTTGGCCCAGAAAAAAGTTATACGTTTTATCTGACTTTTTAGGATCAACTGATTTTGTGATTAATCCTAAATAAGATTATGTTTCCAAAAATGTTTTATAAAATTGTATCAGTTCAGTTCAGTAAAATAATGTTTCAATACATTTTTTTACAACTACTATATGACAAAAATGGTCAACATATCAAGGCCAAGAGTCTACAGCCATGCTACAGACTCAAGGCTTTTCAGACTGTTCACAAGCACCTTTTCAGGGCTGAGCTGACGTCATAACCCGGCAACATCTAGTTATTATATATTCCGTTAAAAGTTCTCAATTCCTTGAAAGCAGCTATCTTTTAACCTTGATCAATATAGTAACACTATAATATATATTATATATACTATAGTTTAGTGATGACAATATTACCTCATTTTACAAATCCTAATCCTAACGACTCCTAATTGCGACTTTCACCTCCCCTTTCCAAAATGTTCTGTAGAGCTTTTATTAGACTTACTGTAATTGGAATTTCCATAAAGTAATCGGAAAGTACACAAAATGAAAGAGCACATTAAGTTTCACACGCTCACACACAATGTGGTCTTGTATGAGGTCTCTGTTTGCTTCTGCTTTTGGTTAAAAAATAGGGATGACTGGATAATGACAAATGACAAATGAGGGTAGAGGAGGCCGAAGACTTCCTGTTTTAGCCGTATTTAAGGAGACTGCAGGACACATGCACGAGAATAGATGTCTAGCTCTACACAACAGGTTTGCACTTTGAGATTTTAATACATTTTTGCATTCAATCTTAGCTCAGGATGCTAATCTCATGGAAACAGACCCTCAAGGAGAGCGGTTATCTGGCTGTGGATGTTTTCACAACCGGTGAAAGGGATGGCTTGCAAAGAACGCTCCTCCTGCTCTTCACCTGTAGCGTCTCCAGCCTCCTGCTCAGCTTGCTGCTCTTCCTATACCTCCTCCTCACGCTGAACTATGATCTAGCTGTGTCTGGAGGGATCTCTTGCTGCTTCGGGACCCTCCTGACAGTTGCCCTCTTCCTATCAAAGAGGGTACGTTGCTTAGGGACTCTTTTTGTGATCTCTATTTTCATGAAGAAGAGCCGGAACCTTCTCCTCACCGCCGGCACCAGTTTAGTGCTGCTAAGAAACATTCGCAACACCTTAGAGAACACCACAAGTCTGGTCCGGAGTATGATCTGCAACCTGCAGGCCAAGAAAGCAGCCGTCATTGCTCCGTTTAGCAAATATGTGAAGATGCTAAAGTGGCTAGGAAACATGCTAAAGGGGGTTACAGACTTAGGGGTGTTAAACCTTGACCCCCAACTCAAGGTTTCCCCCAGACTGGAATCAGAAAAGTTCCAGGTGACGCTCGGTGAGGCGGAGCAGAAGCTGAACGCTACAGTGAAATATGTGAAGTCCATTATGAACACAGTCTCCTCTGTGAGCGAGAAGATGTTCCCCGCCCTCAGCTTCCTCGTGCTCATGATGTTTATAGCCCTGCAAATAAAAAGATACCGCAGTGACATGAAATACCAAAACAGGTTCGTGAGCCGGAGGTTTGTCGCTTTTGACGAGCAGCAGAAGGCGGAAGGGAAGCCCCACGTCCTCCCCCTCACCGCTGAGGAAGAGGAGCTGTACACCCCCCTCCCCTCGGCCCGTCCCACCACCAGAGAGGGGAAAGCCATGCTGAAGTTTGGAGTTCCGGTCGCCTCCCATCTTGCAGCTTGGGTCATATTTATAACCGTGGATGCCTTATTGTACCTCTTTGTCGACATTGTAACAAAAAAGCTATCCGAACTGGAGCCGTTCCATATCCCGCTGATAGTGAGCATCAAAGTGAGTATTTTTGTTAAAGGGGCCTAATTATGCTCCTTTTCAGGTTCATATTTGTATGTTGTTCCTCTCCAGTGACATGTCTTCATGCTTTAATGTTCAAAAAGCTCTTTATTTTTCTCATACTGCCTGTGCTGCAGCACCTCTTTTCACCCTCTGTCTGAAACCAGAGCTCAGTCTGCTCTGATTGGTTAGCTGGTCGGCTCTGTTGTGATTGGTCAACAGCTTAGAGATGTCCCAGCCCTTAGCCTATCACATACAATATGTTGGAACGCTAGCCAATAGATGAGAGTATGCATACTTTCTGCCTAAATTACATGTGATTGCCGAAAACTTCAGAATCTGTATTTACCGCCAAATGACAGCGAATGTTTTCCCCCAAAAGTGGGCGGGGCCGTAATTTCACCCGGAAGTGATGTGTTACTCTCATCTATAGAAGTGTGAGTGTTACATAGTGATGTGTTCCAGAAGTAAACAAAGGAGTCCAATGGAAATGCAGACCATGTACATGCACAGAAACATATATAACACACTACAGGAAAGGAAAAAAACCCAAAAGCACAATAGGGCCCATTTAACCTCTTAAGCACGGCGGTCCCCCCATTGGACCCCTCCCACCGTTTTTCTTTCGAGATAATGTCTCAGGGCTTCTTAACATTAATGAAACTATTAATGTGTAGCACCAGATTAACGGGAAGAATCTCAGCTAACTGAAGATATGAACCATTTTTACCAAAACAAAACACAAATCTCATAAGAAGCGTCTAAATGACCCCTGAGCGAAAATATTCTAACGCACTGCGGCACACAATTCAAGATAAAGATACCCTTATTACTTATCGTAGCTGCACATACAATATAGCCGATTAAAGCTGAGACTCCACTGATTATTTAGGTATAGTATCATCACTGAGCGATCCGATCTTGCGACAGGGGAAGCAAACACAGACATCACAACACGTACCTTTACGGAGCATTTACGGCAGATCGTCTCACCGTAGCTGTCATTAGGTCAAAAGACGTGTTCAATGGCATTAAAACGAAAAAGAAAAATGCTACAACTGTTGATCCATAGGTTGATAATGTACCTGTGCCTTTGAAAAAATTATTTATAATCCATAATTCCATTTTTATGTAAAAATCGGAGCGGAAAAGTTAGCTGATGGTAGCCACCAGAGTGTATGCAGCTTCCGGTTTTGGTAACGCGTCACTCTCACTCCTTATTTGTTAACGTTTTGGTGTGTATATAACTTTCCCTCGATTCCATTGGCTCTAGCGGTTATAAAGAGATTTCATTCATCAAAATCGAGCAAGGGGGGCCAGAGATAGGTCAAATCCACCCAAATGACCCCAGAAGTGGGGTTTTTTGCTAAATCTCTCTAAAAATGTCAAATTTCACTTGTTTTGCATCAATCTTGATACAGGGTACTTATTATATGTTGTACTTTGGATTCCTAAAGCTTTTAGTCTACTAACCCATCATCCAAGGCCTGAGCCTGTTTTTCAGGTCTCAGGCTCGAAAATGACATTCCCAGAACAAATGACCATATCTTCCCTTCTAAAAGGGTTAAATTAATAATGTTTATTCTCAAAGTAATGATAAACCTGTGAGTTGGATGTAGAAAAGTCAGAATCAATATAGATGTTTTTTATTTTAAAGAAAATTCAGATTTTACATAGTAAAAAACTGTAAATTATAGTGTCCGTCCAAAAATTCTTTTTTACTTATAGTGAAAACTACCCTTGGATGATGGGTTAGTAGACTAAAAGCTTTAGGAATCCAAAGTACAACATATAATAAGTACCCTGTATCAAGATTGATGTAAAACAAGTGAAATTTGACCCTTTTAGAGAGATTTAGCCAAAAAAACCCACTTCTGGGGTCATTTGGGTGGATTTGACCTATCTCTGGCCCCCCTTGCTCGATTTTGATGAATGAAATCTCTTTATAACTGCTAGAGCCAATGGAATCGAGGGAAAGTTATATACACACCAAAACGTTAACAAATAAGGAGTGAGAGTGACGCGTTACCAAAACCGGAAGCTGCATACACTCTGGTGGCTACCATTAGCAGCTAACTTTTCCGCTCCGATTTTTACATAAAAAATTGAATTATGGATTATAAATAATTTCTTCAAAGG